AACTATTGACCTTCAACAATGGGCAAAATTGATATCGTATAGTTAGCAAGCTATAAAAGGCCCCTTGATGACTAAAAGCGAAAAAAATGTCAAAGAAAATGTACTTTAAACAGATGAGCGCTATCTAGCCCCCTATCAGCTCCCCACCCATTAACCTGGTCGGAATAGTGGGGTAACAACTGACTTAAATCAGTTGAACATGTGCTTTACTCGAAAGATCGTTTTACTTAGCACAATAACAAATAAAACAAGTAGCAAAGTAACAAAAAACGAAATGTAAATTTAAGATTACTCGCAGTTACTAAAATCTGGTCACTCAAAGCCAAAATTTATATAAAACAAGTTTACCAAAAAAGATATTGTTTCCAAATACTAAGATTTCATTTAGTTCACCACTGACAGATTTGCATTGAAGACTTCAAAAGAATCTGGTAAAAGCATGACCTTGTACAATGCCAAAATTTAAGTTTTGACAGGGTGCAGAATCATTAATGTTAATTGAATTGGACTGCAATCAGTGATCATAATATATATTAAGGTTAACCTTAAATATTGAAAATGTGATGAAAGATATTAAAGGTTAAGGCAATAATCAAAGAATTTACAATAATATTGAATTGAGAAAATACTTTTATTGCGAAAGAAATGATACTTTTCCACAGATGCATTTGAAGGTTACCTGTCGATTTATTGTGAACCAAATGAAAGTCTTCCACAGAGTCGTCTGCTCTTGACCAGAGTATTTAAACTTTTGTCTATTCTCTTGTCCTATTGAATAAATACAATAGCTATTGTTCTCTGTATAGTTTTTTCACTGGGACCTTTAAATTTCTTCTAGGAGAAATCTATCACTCATTGATTAATTTACCTGACCAAAAAATTATCTTCTTTTTTGGGGGACATAGTTGTATAAACTCGCATAAACTGCATGCAATATTGTATTTAATCAATATCAATAATATATTTTCAATCTGTTTAATATAAACACTGATTTAATTATAAAAAGTTTATTTCTGACAAAATTTTTAGTATCCAATGAATTTGCATGTTTTTGTTGTTGTTCAGTTATAGAATACATTTATCAAGACCTTGATTTAAACAAATTAATTTTCAAGTTTTTATTTGTCAAACACACAAAAAAAGCAAATTTTATTTTTTAATATGGAAAATATAAAAAATTTGTTCAGAAATCAACTTTTAATTTTTTAATCAGTGTTTATATTGAAACTATCGTAAAACGATAACTTAAACAGACGGTCGGTTTTCCGTTTGAACAGTTTTGAAAGTTGTATCCGAGGATGTTCAAAGTCGCCGATGTATTTATTTAATTTGATCGTTTACAGTATTAGTCCTTGGTCGTTTCGAAAATCTCGATTTTCCTTGTCAGCCGCCATTTATTTTTACCTGTGATATTTGTCAATCACAAGTTGTCTCCCTTTTACCAATTTTGATAGCGATTTGACTTCGCTATGAAGTCAGTCGGCCGGCAAGATTTAGCGATTTTCAAAATTCTTTGGCGACTTAAATCGTCATTTCGCCGGCAAGATTATGGCCTGTTTTAATATGGAAAACATTTGTTCAGAAATCAACTTTTAATTTTTGAATCAGTGTTCATATTGAAACTTTTAAAAATGAATTATTGATATTGAATAAATACAACACCACAGGCAGTTTAAGCTATTGTATTTATTAGATGGGACAAAAGAACTTACAAAAGTTTAAAATCGACAGGTAACTTGCAGGTGAATCTGTGGAAAAGTATCATGGGGTTGGCAATAAACTTTTCCAAGTTCTTTTGTCCCATCAAATAAATACAATAGCTATTGTTCTCTGTGGAGTTTATTCAATGGGACCTTTAAATTTCTTCAAAGAGAAATCTATCACTCACTGATTAATTTACCTGAACAAAAAATTTAACTTTCAATGATGAAAATACATGTACCAATACTAAATAAGGACTCACAAAACTGCATGTGATGTTGTATTTATTCAATATCAATAATACATTTTCAATTTGTTCAATATAAACAGTGATTCAAAAATTAAAATTTGATTTCTGATCAAATTTTCAATATTTTACCCTTTTAAAATTTGCTTTTTTTTGTGTGTTTGACAAATAAAAACTTAAAAATGATGATGTTTAAATTAAGGCCTTCATAAATGTTTTCTTTAACTAAACAACCACAAAAAAACATGTAAATTCATTGGAATAATACTAAATATTTTGTTAGAAATAAACTTTTTATAATTAAAACAGTGTTTATATTGAACAGATTGAAACTATATTATTGATTATGAATAAATACCACATCACTTGCAGATTTGTAAGTGTAAAACATGTATTTCAATGAACTATTAAGATAAATTTTTGGTCAGGTAAATTAATCAATGAATGATAGATTTCTCCTAGAAGAAATTTAAAGGTCCCAGTGAATAAACTACACAGAGAACAATAGCTATTGTATTTATTAAATGGGACAATAGAACTGACAAAAGTTTAAATACCTTGACCAAGAGCAGATGACTCTGTGGAAAACTTTCATTTGGTTCGCAATAAGAATAAGTTTATTTAAAGAATCATTAAGTTAACACGGATCTTATCTTAATTTAAGAGCTTTACAATCTATCGCAAAAAAGAAGTTGATATCCCGGCGTCAGCAATAAGATTTGAATAGGTATACCCGAAACTTAAGTGTTAATATCTATGAACTAAATTGATAAAGGGTGTGAGTAATTATGGTGAAGAAATTCGAAAATATAAACTATAAGTCTAATTTAACAACAGCTTTGGTCTGTCTTCCAGATTTTGTTACAGGTCTTTGAATTGTCATATCGTTTGAATCATCCACAGTTTCATGGTTTTGGTCGTCGTCATCATCTGACTCATCTTCATATTCAGATTCTTGTTGTTCAACTGAAATGTTTGTAGTACTAAAATTTATCTCCTGGAATTCCGTAGTATTAGATGTGTGATTGCAGTACAAAGCAATAGGTAGGATTCCTGCTTTGTCTTTGGTAGTCAGATCTGACTGAGCGTTTTCGTAATGGTTTGAAACGCTCAACCCAGTCTTGCATTTGACTTTCATGATCTTGGTTTAGTGTTGCAACTTTAAGCAGTTCCATAAACTTTAAATCTTTGAAGGACATACTGTTGAACAATATCCTAATATGAGCTATGATGACGTTGGTAACCTGTAGAATCTGGTATCTCTTGGTAAGGACTTGAAAAAAAAATGCGGGTTTTATTTTCTTCATGACGATAAAAAAAAATTGACTGACTTTGATGAATCACATTAATTTTTCTAATAACGGTAACAGTAAATTATTTGAGACCTCTGACATCACGATAAGGATATTTTGACAAATCACGATAAATTTTTAATCATTTAGATGCTAACGATAGCCGAAAATGACCGTTTGACGCCTGACAGTAAAGGGCATTACCACCCTCCTGTAGAAAATAGTTTGATTTTGTTTTAATTTTCCCTTTTCCACTTTGAATGGGCTTAGTTTTTGGCAGTCAACTACACTTTAACATTGACAGCAGCAACCTGTGGATTCCTTTACATTTCTTGTTATATTAAATCTTGAAATTAGAATCATTGTCTTTCTTTTCAAGTATCAGATAAATGAGTTAAAATGTGTAAACATTTTTCAATGGTCAGTTATTTCGACATAGAAATTAGATCTTGCAGGTAAATTCTTTTTTTTTTACCACTCAATAAGATGAAAAAGTAAACCAAATCATATATTTTATAGAAAAGAAAGAAAAGCTCATAAATTCATCAGCAGTGTATGCCTTAATAAAAAGGAATATAAATAATTTATGACACAAATTCTACAGGAAATAAAGCCATTCAAATATGCCGCAAAAAATGGCAACCCTTAACAATGTCATCACATGCTAAATTTGGGTCTACCACTCTTGGAAATTTTGAAAAATAGGCAGGTATGTTCAGGTTTTAAGGTTAAGGATAAGTTTTACCAAACATATTAATTCTTATAACCAAGACTCTTTTCCAAATTGCTTTCATACTTACCGGTAGTAGAATTTATTTGTCATCATACTATCTTGACAACATACTCTACCTACCTCCATTTGAAATTCTAAATTTATGGAGGAGTTCTTGGACTTGCACAATTAACTGCTTAGCAGTCTTGTAACTTTTTTGACCATATGACCCTTAAAGTAAAAGAAAAAAACAGATTGACCAGTTAGTTTATCCTTGTACAAATGTAAGCTTGACATTGATTATGTGTGATTGATAAGAGCATTCACAATGAATACTGTTAACATAATTGCATTTGAATTTCCAAGAATGACAATAATTGCCACTGGATGATAAGCAACCAACAATCGATCAAGAATAAGGTAAATGAAGAGCAAAATGGTAAACACACAAATCATATTGTTCATTTGTATATATATACCGTACAAGATACAGGATATTGGCAATTTTATATAGTTGAAAAACCATATTTAGATTGATTGATGATTATGATCAGTCAGTGTTAAAGTGTAGTTGACTGCCAAAAACTAAGCCCATTCAAAGTGGAATAGGGAAAATTAAAACAAAATCAAACTATTTTCTACAGATATTTCTTGCTTTAAGTCCAGCAGCAAATGAAATGCATATTCAGGATGAAAACATGTGAATGATATATGAATATTTACCCTGGTTTGTACTAGACCCACAGGCTGTGCAGGTTTTTTTTAACATGCTAGTACACAAGGTAACAGTACGCAGGAAGACATGTCACCCTACCAAAACACATTATTCTGTCTCTGAGCCGATTTAGATTTAGGTTGAATCCAATAGGAAATACCTGTGCAGTTGAATTATTTTTGGAAAAGAATGATAATATCAATGGAAACAATGGTCATCTTTTCCCTCGGAGCTATCAAACCCTTTGATTTATTAAACAATTTGGTGAAATCATACCTGACCTTTTTAAATAGCCAGCTTTCTAGAAAAAAATGTTTGTTCTTTTTTTTTCAGTTAAAAGCTCAGATTTCTCAACTAGAGACTACAAACAGAGAGTTATTATTCAGAATAGACAGTATGGCAGAATCTGAAGAGCAAGTTCATGTAAGATATTCTATACAGGAATGTTACAAATTCCATGTTACAATAACTATTTGTAACTAATGTTTTGACAATTTTTGTTTAATCATGTATTAATATCTTTTGTAAATAAATGCATTTTTGTCACAGCTAGACAATAAGGTGTGCTGTTTCTCGAAGGGGCGGCAACAATGTGTCCAAATTGTGCTTAGGTTAGTTTAAGGGGTCTAAAGGGGATCCACTATTAGTAGGTTGATGATATTTGGTATGCATTTGTATAAAGCAATAGCTCATTTCATTTCTACAGAGACTTTTTTGGCCCTGCCCCCTCAGTCATGGTCTATTTACTTTGAAACTTTTGCTTATTTTAAATGTGAAAGTTTGTGAAAGAAAGACGAAAGATACCAGAGGGACATTCAAACTCATAAGACAAAAATAAACTGACAACGCCATGGCTAAAAAAGAAAAAGACTAACAGACTAACAATAGTACACAAAACACAACATAGAAAACTAAAGACTGAGCAAAAGAACCCCACCAAAACAGGGGGTGATCTCAGGTGCTCCAGAAGGGTAAGCAGATCCTGCTCCACATGTGGCACCCGTCTCACTGTCAATTTCTAGATGTAAGTCAAGATATGAGGCAGACTTAACTGTATCTGTTGTATCAATTATCTCAAGTTCGATGGGATAGATGCATTCAACATAGTAACCAAATTTTGAATTATTTAGTGAGAGAACATCTATATAGCTGAAAGTAAAGTTAAAGGATACTGCTAACTTCTTTTCTTTCTTCCTAAGAAGTTCCTGTATGAAGTCAGCCTCATATGAATAAAGGAACAAGTCGGCAAGAAGAGGGGCACTGTTGATTCCCATGGGAATGCCGATTGTTTGTTGACACGTCCTCCAAACACAACAAACAAATATGTTGTCAATCAAGAAATCAAGCATCTTGATAATGTCAGTTTCAGAAAATTTTTTGTTTGAATCAGAGCGATTTTTTACAAAGTAGGATTTATCCCTCCCTAAGACAAGATACTAGTATCTACGTTGGCCATTCTTTTTTATGAAACAAAGCATTACCAACTCTTTCAATTTGTCATTTAGTTTGGAATGGAATTGTGTAAAGTGTAGAAAAGTCAAATGTTATAATACTATTGCAAGATGAAAGAGTCTTAGATTGTATGTACTCTAAAAGATCTTTGGAATTTTTTAGCATCCACATCTGATTCACACCACCTCTAAAATAGGTAGTTTCACAATTACTTTGAAGCCCGGCTTTGAATGCTGATAAAATTGATGTTAATAATTTAGAAAGAGGTTTCGTTGAGCACTTGGAAGACCCAGCAATATACCATTGTTTGTAAGGACACTTATGTAGTTTAGGTATCCAATACAGTGATGGAAGATCCAGTTCTTCATCTTTGGTTGAAATTCCAAAGGAACATAGAACAGACTTATGATTATCCAGGATTTCCTCTTTAGTAAGTGTCGTGAGTGTATATGTTCAGTTTCCAAGTGAATTTTCAATACCTAATTCATTTATCAAGCAGTTTATGTAATGTGATTTACACATAAAAACGATGTTGTTTGGGGCTTTATATGCGGGGACAACAACATATTTGTCATGGAGGTAGGACAAGTCTTTTGCAACATTTGGGTCTTTAAAGATTGATGTAGCATTGGTATTAGATAGACCCATTCGGTTTCTTAATTCTGATTTGTATCAACGACCTCACAGCCTTAATCCATTCAGAAAGAGTATCTACGTCTTCTTTCTCGCGTTTAACCCATTGGCATTGCCTGGCATAATCCTCGACTGAATCCATCAGTATTTTGAAGTTGTGTTTCCAATTGATGGATTTAGGCTCAAGATATTTCTGGCCTTTGGATAACACATTTCACAGAGAAGTGTTATTGACAATGTTTAGGGTTAGTCAAGGATATTTGAGGGTGTGGATGGGGTTTACAGAATAAAGAATAATGGGCAAAATGTGCAGAATAAAGGGCAAAAAACCATAAAGAATAGAGAAAAATAGGCCTAAAAATTAAGAATAGAGAATAATGGGGTGCTTAAATATAAAGAATAGAGAATAACAGGCAAAATTTATAAAGAATAGAGAAAAATGGTCTAAAAAATTAAAGAATACAGAAATGAAGGACCCCCATCCTGACACTCATATTTGTTATTCAGTTGCATTCAGCATTTGCACACCTCATATCTTTGCATGTTTTTTTTAATTTTTATAAAAATGAGATGTGGTAAGATGGCCAATGAGACAACTATCCCTCAGAGTTAAAATGAATTGGTAGTAAGCAATTATAGTCCATTGTACAGCTTTCAACAATGAGAAAACCCCATACCGTTTATGTATGAGTTACTCATTACAACCTTTAGTAAACACTAAACAACCAAAACAGACTCAAACCATAAATTTATGGGACCAACAACACGACATTTAATCAATACATATAGATTTCAAATTTTGATAAATAAATTAATAAATAAATAAGCTAAATTGATCTCTAAAGCTGACAAATTTGTTCTGATTGAAAATAAACAGCCAGTTAAAGTTAGATTCAATGTTCTAAAATGTTCTTAATTCAGTGTTTTCGTTTAAGTTCAAGGACAACATAGTAAATAAGTTGTTGTGGTAATGTTAGATGTGCTTTAACCAGTATGAATAACAATATTATGGATAGAAATTATTGGATATGAGAACTTTAAGAGAACAGGATCATTGAGAGTATTAGGAAATCAATTTTGTGCCATGTGCAACTTACCCATAACTTGATTAAGAAAGACTACTGGTACTCTGTTTTTTTCTTGACATTAATCAGAAAATAATTTGTATATTTATCAGCAATTGGTTCATTTTCTCCTTGATCTTACTGCCTAATATTTTTTCTATATCATGGACAGAACCTGATACTCAAAAATATTAGGCTGCAACATAACCTATCAGTGCAGCAACGTAACATTCTCATAGTCAATCCGCATCAATTTATTGATGAAATGCATGCAATTTCATTCATACAACCGAACAACTGTCAAAATTTTTTGTACGCGAAAAAATAATCTTATGAACTAATTTTTTTTTTTTTTAACTGACTTCATCAGCTTAAATATCTTTATTTCAGTCTCTAAAGAAGGAGATAGAAAGTCTTAAAAAGAGAATTAAAGAACTGGAAGAAGAGCTAAAATCAATTAAAGAAAAAGAAAAAAATACTATAGATCCAACTGAATATTTAGCTGAAATAGAGGAATTGAAAAAGAAAAATTGTGTATTGACACATGAAGTCAGGGCAAAAACTCAAAAAATTATTGAATTAGATTTCCGATTGGATAAGATGGAGAGAGAATTGGACGAAAATCCAGAAGATGCTGACAAAATAACATTGATTGAAAATTTGAGAATAAAAATTACGCAAATGCAAGCAGAAAGATCTGCTGGTACAGAAAGAGAGCGATATTTTGAGAAATTAATAAAAGAGTTGCAAGCGGAAATTGAACAGCTTAGAGAGGGAGTTTCAGTTTGTGAAGTAACAAAACACAGATTGTATGCGGACTACAAGAAATTGTTGGAAGAGTACAACAAGCTACGTGAAAAATATGTTGTAGACAGTCAGCACAAAACATTTCAGGATTTCGTTCAGTTAAAAAGACAGCTAAATCATGTAAAAACTGAAAATGACGACTTAAAACAAGTCGCAAGATCAGTTTCTGGTGGCAGTCTTCCAACATTAAAATCATCTGAAAATGGTGTTACCAAAAAACGAAACTCAGGTTCACATAAAAAACAACAGTTAAAGACATTAAAGGAATGAAAGTTCTATTTAGCTGCATTTGGTATAGTGATACTTGGTTTTAATTGTCACTGGCATGATGATTGCATAAATTGGCATGCACAGCCATTTATCTATTTTAAACAGATGAAAAAAATGTTTCTGCCTTGTAAGGTTATTCATTTAAGAAATGATTCATTACAGCCTTAACTTGATAGGACTTTTTTAAATGGGTATGAATAAAAAGTGATTTCAAGTAAATATCATTAAGACATAAACCTCGAAATCAAAGTAAACATAAAAAAAGACATAAAAAAGTCAACATATATAGTCTTCAATGCTGGAAAATTGTTCAAACCAAATGTCATACTGTAAATTATCTGATTTCTGCTAATTTTGAGGAACAGAAAAGCCCTAAAATGCATCACCTCCTTCAACCTTTTTTTGATATTAGATCTCTGATATATTATACCAAGACAAAAACTAAAAAGATTTGCAGATATTATTCAGCAAATATAATACTTATCATGTTGCTTCCAAATGCATCATTCTTCTGGGGAAAACAGGTTGAATAGGGTCCTTTTTATTCAACATGTTAACATGTTTGATAGTTTTTATTCATCATATTTTGCACACCAAATCATTTTAAAATATGCAAGCATAGGATAATTTTTTTTATTTTGAAATTCATTATTAGTTTTATGTTCTCTTCTGTAGGTAGCCCCCACTCCATGTTTGACCCTATATTAACATTATATCATTATAGTTCTATGCATTTACATGCAGTGTATTTAGTCTGTTTTATGTTGCATTACAATTGATGGCTAGTCTAACTGTCATATTTAAAGTGTTCATTTTAGTGTAGATAGCAGAAAATTAAGGTTTGTATGTAGTTGAATAGAAGTAAAATGATCTTAGGGGGAAATAAATATATCATATCATATAAAAGAGAGGTGAAAGATACCAATGGAACATTCAAAGAGCCAAAGAAAAAGTGAATGTTGAAAGAGGTGCAAAAATATTTGTTTTAAGATAATAGTGAACATGAGTTAAAGTTCTTTTGCTTCCGGATATCATAATGCTACAATACTTTACCTGGATCCCATCAGATATAAAATTAATGTCTTTAATGTTTTGATATGAGATAAAGTTACCTCAAAGAAAGTAAACCATAGTTTAATCACTTTCAGCAATAAGATTATATTTGAAATTTCCTCTATTATTGAATGCATTTTGAAATTTCTGGGAATAATGGATTCCTATTCAATTTTAGCACAATGTTCCATACCACAATAGGAAGGTTGGGGGTTATAGAAGCTGTTTAGGAATTAGAGGCCAAAAAGGACCTAACAAAAACAATTATTTGTCTGGTTCACAGACAATAACTTGAGTATAACTATAGATCTGTATTAAATTTAAGCACAAGGTTCCATTCCACAATAGGAAGGTTTGGATTTATTTTGGGGGTTATTGTTGTAGCTGTTTAGTAATAAAGGACCAAAAAGTGATCAAAACAAGCATTTTTCATGGTTCAGGACACTAATTTGTGTATTTGAGTATGGATTTCTATAAAATTTTACTACAAGGTTCCATACTTCAAAAGGAAAGTTGGGATTAATTTTAGGGGTCATGGTCCAAACTGTTTAATAATAAGGGCCGAAAAGGGGCAAAAAAACTAGGATTTTCTGATTTCTGGACAATAACTTGGAGTATAAGTCTATTTATTGCTATTTAATTGTGCCACAAGGTGTTATACCATAAATTAAAGTTTGGGATTGATTTTAGGGGTTATGACCCTATTGGTTTAGTTAAAAGGGGCCAAAACCAATACTTTGTATAAATTGCTTATTTTTTTAGGCAAATTTGAATGGGATTTAATTCAAAAGTACTTAATTCTTGGGAGTCTTTAATGTGCTGAATCTAATTGGGTATTTAATATTTGGATTTTAGGGTCTGTTTTTGAAATGATTCATATTAAGGTCCAAAGGGTCCAAAATTAAACTTTGTTTGATTTCTTTAAAAATTAAATTCTTGGTGTACCTTGATATGCTAATCTTATTGTGTATTTAGATTTTTTAAGTTTGAGGCCTGTCTTCAAATTGGTCCACAATAAGGTTCAAAGGGTCCAAAATACAACTTTTTTTTTATTTAAAAAAAAATTGAATTCTTGGTGTTCTTTGATATGCTGAATCTAAGCGTGTATTTAGATTTTTTATTTGGGGCATGGTGGGCCCACATTAAGGTCCAAAGGGTCCAAAATTAAACTTTTTTTTATTTAAAAAAAATAAGGATGGTTGGGGTTCTTTGATATGCTGAATCCAACCATGTATTTAGAATTTGAATATTGGACGATAATTGGTAAATGTCCAATTTTAAAATTATTTAAGAACTTATACCACATTCATTCTGTGTCAGAAACTATGCTTTTATAACATATTTGCTCAGAATCTAAATTCAGAGATGTTATTGCACAATTAACAGAAATTTTAAGTTGAGTCATAGTTGAAAATAGATATAACATCATATCTAATCTTAGAGAACTATTTTTGTGGTTTACATCACTGGTTCATGGAAAAAAAATTGGTTCACAGACAATAAATTTAGTAGAAGTGTATGGATGTGTAAGAAATTTTAGCACAAGGTTCCATACCACAATAGGAGGGTTGGGATATTAAATAGTTAATCAAGCTCTACATTTATAGATTTATTATAGAAATTTTAAATTGAGTCATAGTTTAAAATAGATTTGCTGATTCAGATATATTAATTGTGGTGATAATTGTGTATGCATTGTGTTTTATTTAAAGATTGTTAACATGTTTGAATATTTTCTTATGGTTGAAAATTCCCTTGGAAATTAAAAGAGACATTTGTCCATCTGTTGAAGTGGAAGTGTAGGTAAGTGAAGTTTTTAGATACAATTGTGCCATACATTATGTTATGTTACATCTTAATAAAAAAAATGTTATTTTTAGATAATAATCTATTTGTATTAAAGGATATATATATTGAAATTTTGTGTTTCCTAAGTGTTGTTGATGATAAGCTCTGTAGGACGGTATAAATATAGTTTGAAATTTACTGTTCATTACTAGATATTTTGAAGATAATTACAGATAAGTTTAAAAGATTTTTTAAAGACATTGTATTAATGATAAATGATATTTTGGAAATTATTTTTTTCTTTTCTTTGGTAAATTGTTTGTAGAATATTGTTGGTTTGTATGTTATTCTGTATAAACTAATTTTCTGAATGCTATATATATTTTTATGCCCCCACCGTAGCGGAGGGGGCATTAAGTCTTACCCTTGTCCGTCTGTACGTCCGTACGTCCCAAAATTGGTTTCCGTTCTCTAACTTTAGTTTGCCTCAACCAAATACTATGAAACTTATACACAATGCGGATTACCACAAAACACAGATCAAGTTTGAATTTGGGTGGCGTCACTTTTACCGATCTAGAGTTATGCCCCTTTACAAATGGAAAAATTGCTGAATTTTTCGTTTCCGTTCTCTAACTTTAGTTTGCCTCAAACAAATATTATTAAACTTTTACACCATAATTATTACCACTAAACACAGATCAAGTTTGAATGTTGGTGACTTGCACTTTTGCCGTTCTAGAGTAATGCCTCTTTACAAATGGAAAAATTACTGAATTTTTCGTTTCTGTTCTCTAACTTTAGTTTGCCTTAACCAAACGTTTGAAACTTATGCACAATGCTGATTACCACAAAACACAGATCAAGGGTGAATTTTAGTGGTGTCACTTTTACCGTTCTAGAGTTGTGCCCCTTTACAAATGGAAAAATGCTAAATTTTTCGTTTCCGTTCTCTAACTTAAGATTGCCTCAACCAAATGTTATGAAACTTATTACCACAAAACTCAGATCAAGTACAAATTTGGGTAGTGTCACTTTTACTGTTCTTGAGTTATGTCCCTTTATAATGTTATATGCATGCGGGGGCATCATCTGTGTCCCATGGACACATTCACCCATTTTTTTATTTTTTTTTATGAAGCGAACTCCTTTAAAAACTAAGCTTATATGGTCTGTTAATAAACATGTTTTTAGATTTTTGATTTTGGGCCCAGTTTTCAAGTTGATCAAAATCTGAGTCCAAAATTAAACTGTGTTTGATATCAACATAAATTGAATATATGTGGGGTTCTTTGAAATGCTTAATCTAAACCTGTATTTAAAAATTTGATTTTTGGGCCCAGTTTTCAAGTTGATCCAAATCAGGGTCCAAAATTAAACTTTTTTTGATTTCATCAAAAATTGAATTCTTGGGGTTCTTTAATATGCTGATTCTAACCATGTACTTATATTTTGGATATAAACTATAACCTGGTGTCAAAAAATAAATATACCAACAATTTATTTCAACGTGCTAGCTTCCAGCAACCTGTATTCCTTGTAAGGAAATTTAACAGATGAATTATAAAATAATATCCCTCTGATCCAAAATTCAAATTGATGTAGTAAAAAGAACCAACAGGTGTGCACTCCTACTAATTCCTAAAACTACAAAAAAAAGAAAGAAACTGATTGTTTTCTATGTACTACTGTCTTGGAAGGTTGCTATGGTAACATGATAAGCACATTCATGATATTCACTAATGTCTAAATGATCTGAGTTGGTAATGTCAAAGTTATGTTCTTTTAGTCTGTTTTTACTTTATTGTCTCTCAAAAAATCCAATCCTAAAATAGCTTTTGCATGTAGCGTTTCAAAAATTCTGAATTTCTGGTTATTTTTGTATTGTCCAAAAGAAAGTTGTAGCACTATTTCACCGATTATTGCATGTACTTCTCCACAGACACCTATTGCACTACTGATTGTTGACTTCTGTATCGCTGTAGTGGTGTTTAGACGATATAATTGATGTTGACTGATACAGCTAAAAGATGCTCCGCTGTCAACTAAACATCTCACTTGAAGGTTCTCTAGTCCAATTTCGACAAAGTTCCTCTCCATGGTTGTTGTAAACTGGAAACTTGTGGTTCCTGGTATTACACTGGAAAGCTTGGCACATCTGTCTTTTTGGCAGCACCATCCTTTTGAAATTCTTTTTCTTCCCATGATATTTCTATTCCAATTACCAAACTGAAACTAAAAGGAATTTTTGTCAATATCTTGTTTATGTCAATACTCTATCTTAATGTACTCTTAATATTTAATTAATTACGCTATTAAAATCTCTCCTGAACTGAACGTTTACTTCTGTAATGTTTTGCACAAACAAATTTTATAAAATTACAGATTCACACCAAGAATCAACATACATCTATACTTTTCACTAAAAAATATTAAAGTGTAATATAATAAGCAAGATGTACTTATCTTTTAGTTGTGTGTTGTTGAATCTGCAACTTGTCTCTGCTGTTACTGGTTCTCTCTTCCTCTCATTGTCTCTCCTGCTGTTGTCTCAATTTTGAAAATTTAAGTTTTAGATAATTTTGAATGAATTTTGCCAACCTACATTCTAGCTATGCAGTTTCAGAATCTTATTTGTATCGTGCCCAGGGTCAAACTCCACCATATCTGTCACCAAGGTCCAGAGCACTGTTAGAAAAGGGGGAGCTAACTCGTATGTGCCGGAACCAAGGGACAGGGGGTCAGTCTATCACTAGACTTAATGTTCTGATAGGCATAGCTAAAACGCAAGGAAGGTTTTCATAATTTAATTAACGATAACAATTTAGATGAATGATGATAACAATCAATTAGTAAACAATGCCAAATAATAATAATAATTAAAGTACAAAGTATCAAAACTTAATATCAAATCCAAAGTAAAACTATTTCTCCTTACAATGTAAAATGTAAAATAAATGCCAAAACTACTAAATCATAAAATGAACTTAATCTCAAAATCAAAATGTAAAAGTCTCAAAAATAAAAGATTCTCAAAAGTATTTTCCAAAGTTAAATTATGAGTCAGAGATAAATTTTGTCTCAACACTACACTGTCAACTGGTAGACTGGTAGACAGTCTTATAGGTCCAGTATCATGACGTGAGTAGTGAGAGGTTGCGCTTCCGAAACACTGACTGTTTTCTAAAAAAATATCAAAAAATAAAAGGTGAGTCAAAAATAAACATTTTTGTCTAAACACTACAAAGTCAACTGGTAGACTGATCAACAGTCTTACAGATCCAGTATAGTAGACTTTAGCAGTGCAAGTTTAGGTTTCCGAAAGGTGACTGCTTTTCCAAAATTTTACAACGCTATTTATACTAAAACCAAAAACTAATGAATAAGACTTGACATGTCAATAGTACTCTCATTAGCAAAAATAGACTTTAATTAACAAAGCCTAATCCTATAATGTTTTGATAAAATCTTAAACTTTCCAAGTGACATATGCTAATTACAATTAATATTTCAAATCAAAGTGCTTTGAGCAAACTGTGACATTTCGAGTATGCCACAGGATAGGTAAAATTAATTAAACAAATTAATTAAAAATTTTACAAAATACAAACTTAAAATTTTCTTTCTAAAAGATAAAACATATTTTTTATCCAAAATAACACTAACACAAATATAAGCCAAATAACACACCATGACATATTCCCCCCTACTCGTATATGTTTGTCCCCAAACATGATATAAACATTCACATTAGTAACACCTATAAAAATCTGAATACACTCTGTACAAACTATAACCTGGTGTCAAAAAATAAATATACCAACAATTTATTTCAACGTGCTAGCTTCCAGCAACCTGTATTCCTTGTAAGGAAATTTAACAGATGAATTATAAAATAATATCCCTCTGATCCAAAATTCAAATTGATGTAGTAAAAAGAACCAACAGGTGTGCACTCCTACTAATTCCTAAAACTACAAAAAAAAGAAAGAAACTGATTGTTTTCTATGTACTACTGTCTTGGAAGGTTGCTATGGTAACATGATAAGCACATTCATGATATTCACTAATGTCTAAATGATCTGAGTTGGTAATGTCAAAGTTATGTTCTTTTAGTCTGTTTTTACTTTATTGTCTCTCAAAAAATCCAATCCTAAAATAGCTTTTGCATGTAGCGTTTCAAAAATTCTGAATTTCTGGTTATTTTTGTATTGTCCAAAAGAAAGTTGTAGCACTATTTCACCGATTATTGCATGTACTTCTCCACAGACACCTATTGCACTACTGATTGTTGACTTCTGTATCGCTGTAGTGGTGTTTAGACGATATAATTGATGTTGACTGATACAGCTAAAAGATGCTCCGCTGTCAACTAAACATCTCACTTGAAGGTTCTCTAGTCCAATTTCGACAAAGTTCCTCTCCATGGTTGTTGTAAACTGGAAACTTGTGGTTCCTGGTATTACACTGGAAAGCTTGGCACATCTGTCTTTTTGGCAGCACCATCCTTTTGAAATTCTTTTTCTTCCCATGATATTTCTATTCCAATTACCAAACTGAAACTAAAAGGAATTTTTGTCAATATCTTGTTTATGTCAATACTCTATCTTAATGTACTCTTAATATTTAATTAATTACGCTATTAAAATCTCTCCTGAACTGAACGTTTACTTCTGTAATGTTTTGCACAAACAAATTTTATAAAATTACAGATTCACACCAAGAATCAACATACATCTATACTTTTCACTAAAAAATATTAAAGTGTAATATAATAAGCAAGATGTACTTATCTTTTAGTTGTGTGTTGTTGAATCTGCAACTTGTCTCTGCTGTTACTGGTTCTCTCTTCCTCTCATTGTCTCTCCTGCTGTTGTCTCAATTTTGAAAATTTAAGTTTTAGATAATTTTGAATGAATTTTGCCAACCTACATTCTAGCTATGCAGTTTCAGAATCTTATTTGTATCGTGCCCAGGGTCAAACTCCACCATATCTGTCACCAAGGTCCAGAGCACTGTTAGAAAAGGGGGAGCTAACTCGTATGTGCCGGAACCAAGGGACAGGGGGTCAGTCTATCACTAGACTTAATGTTCTGATAGGCATAGCTAAAACGCAAGGAAGGTTTTCATAATTTAATTAACGATAACAATTTAGATGAATGATGATAACAATCAATTAGTAAACAATGCCAAATAATAATAATAATTAAAGTACAAAGTATCAAAACTTAATATCAAATCCAAAGTAAAACTATTTCTCCTTACAATGTAAAATGTAAAATAAATGCCAAAACTACTAAATCATAAAATGAACTTAATCTCAAAATCAAAATGTAAAAGTCTCAAAAATAAAAGATTCTCAAAAGTATTTTCCAAAGTTAAATTATGAGTCAGAGATAAATTTTGTCTCAACACTACACTGTCAACTGGTAGACTGGTAGACAGTCTTATAGGTCCAGTATCATGACGTGAGTAGTGAGAGGTTGCGCTTCCGAAACACTGACTGTTTTCTAAAAAAATATCAAAAAATAAAAGGTGAGTCAAAAATAAACATTTTTGTCTAAACACTACAAAGTCAACTGGTAGACTGATCAACAGTCTTACAGATCCAGTATAGTAGACTTTAGCAGTGCAAGTTTAGGTTTCCGAAAGGTGACTGCTTTTCCAAAATTTTACAACGCTATTTATACTAAAACCAAAAACTAATGAATAAGACTTGACATGTCAATAGTACTCTCATTAGCAAAAATAGACTTTAATTAACAAAGCCTAATCCTATAATGTTTTGATAAAATCTTAAACTTTCCAAGTGACATATGCTAATTACAATTAATATTTCAAATCAAAGTGCTTTGAGCAAACTGTGACATTTCGAGTATGCCACAGGATAGGTAAAATTAATTAAACAAATTAATTAAAAATTTTACAAAATACAAACTTAAAATTTTCTTTCTAAAAGATAAAACATATTTTTTATCCAAAATAACACTAACACAAATATAAGCCAAATAACACACCATGACATATTCCCCCCTACTCGTATATGTTTGTCCCCAAACATGATATAAACATTCACATTAGTAACACCTATAAAAATCTGAATACACTCTGTACAAACTATAACCTGGTGTCAAAAAATAAATATACCAACAATTTATTTCAACGTGCTAGCTTCCAGCAACCTGTATTCCTTGTAAGGAAATTTAACAGATGAATTATAAAATAATATCCCTCTGATCCAAAATTCAAATTGATGTAGTAAAAAGAACCAACAGGTGTGCACTCCTACTAATTCCTAAAACTACAAAAAAAAGAAAGAAACTGATTGTTTTCTATGTACTACTGTCTTGGAAGGTTGCTATGGTAACATGATAAGCACATTCATGATATTCACTAATGTCTAAATGATCTGAGTTGGTAATGTCAAAGTTATGTTCTTTTAGTCTGTTTTTACTTTATTGTCTCTCAAAAAATCCAATCCTAAAATAGCTTTTGCATGTAGCGTTTCAAAAATTCTGAATTTCTGGTTATTTTTGTATTGTCCAAAAGAAAGTTGTAGCACTATTTCACCGATTATTGCATGTACTTCTCCACAGACACCTATTGCACTACTGATTGTTGACTTCTGTATCGCTGTAGTGGTGTTTAGACGATATAATTGATGTTGACTGATACAGCTAAAAGATGCTCCGCTGTCAACTAAACATCTCACTTGAAGGTTCTCTAGTCCAATTTCGACAAAGTTCCTCTCCATGGTTGTTGTAAACTGGAAACTTGTGGTTCCTGGTATTACACTGGAAAGCTTGGCACATCTGTCTTTTTGGCAGCACCATCCTTTTGAAATTCTTTTTCTTCCCATGATATTTCTATTCCAATTACCAAACTGAAACTAAAAGGAATTTTTGTCAATATCTTGTTTATGTCAATACTCTATCTTAATGTACTCTTAATATTTAATTAATTACGCTATTAAAATCTCTCCTGAACTGAACGTTTACTTCTGTAATGTTTTGCACAAACAAATTTTATAAAATTACAGATTCACACCAAGAATCAACATACATCTATACTTTTCACTAAAAAATATTAAAGTGTAATATAATAAGCAAGATGTACTTATCTTTTAGTTGTGTGTTGTTGAATCTGCAACTTGTCTCTGCTGTTACTGGTTCTCTCTTCCTCTCATTGTCTCTCCTGCTGTTGTCTCAATTTTGAAAATTTAAGTTTTAGATAATTTTGAATGAATTTTGCCAACCTACATTCTAGCTATGCAGTTTCAGAATCTTATTTGTATCGTGCCCAGGGTCAAACTCCACCATATCTGTCACCAAGGTCCAGAGCACTGTTAGAAAAGGGGGAGCTAACTCGTATGTGCCGGAACCAAGGGACAGGGGGTCAGTCTATCACTAGACTTAATGTTCTGATAGGCATAGCTAAAACGCAAGGAAGGTTTTCATAATTTAATTAACGATAACAATTTAGATGAATGATGATAACAATCAATTAGTAAACAATGCCAAATAATAATAATAATTAAAGTACAAAGTATCAAAACTTAATATCAAATCCAAAGTAAAACTATTTCTCCTTACAATGTAAAATGTAAAATAAATGCCAAAACTACTAAATCATAAAATGAACTTAATCTCAAAATCAAAATGTAAAAGTCTCAAAAATAAAAGATTCTCAAAAGTATTTTCCAAGGTTAAATTATGAGTCAGAGATAAATTTTGTCTCAACACTACACTGTCAACTGGTAGACTGGTAGACAGTCTTATAGGTCCAGTATCATGACGTGAGTAGTGAGAGGTTGCGCTTCCGAAACACTGACTGTTTTCTAAAAAAATATCAAAAAATAAAAGGTGAGTCAAAAATAAACATTTTTGTCTAAACACTACAAAGTCAACTGGTAGACTGATCAACAGTCTTACAGATCCAGTATAGTAGACTTTAGCAGTGCAAGTTTAGGTTTCCGAAAGGTGACTGCTTTTCCAAAATTTTACAACGCTATTTATACTAAAACCAAAAACTAATGAATAAGACTTGACATGTCAATAGTACTCTCATTAGCAAAAATAGACTTTAATTAACAAAGCCTAATCCTATAATGTTTTGATAAAATCTTAAACTTTCCAAGTGACATATGCTAATTACAATTAATATTTCAAATCAAAGTGCTTTGAGCAAACTGTGACATTTCGAGTATGCCACAGGATAGGTAAAATTAATTAAACAAATTAATTAAAAATTTTACAAAATACAAACTTAAAATTTACTTTCTAAAAGATAAAACATATTTTTTATCCAAAATAACACTAACACAAATATAAGCCAAATATCACACCATGACAATTGCCCCAACTGTTCAGGGTTTGACCTCTGCGGTCGTTTCAAGCTCCGTCCAGCGGAGCATTTTATTTGCCATGGCATAGTCAGTTTGTTTTCGATTTATGAGTGAATATCCCAATGTGTCTTTCGCCTCCCTTTTGGAACAAATGATAATAGGTCAATATTATTATGACTCAATAATACATAATACTTGATATACAATTGCATTACTTCAATGCATCTCATTTCATGGAGATTATTCAGTCTTCTTTCCTAAGTCATGGCCAATTGACCTTAAGATTATTATTCTAAATAGAAAATGTTTTATACGTTAGACCTGTTGAATGAAGCTATCTGGTTTGCTATATCAGCTCAAATGGACTTCTTAATTTTAAAAGGCTTAGTCCCTTGGTCACAGTCCATTGATTTTTAAATTACGGTATATGTTTTATCAATGTTATGATGAAATTATTATTTTTGGCAGGAAAATTTTTTAGAAATACATTGTAAATGATAACCACTCCACAGTACATCAATATTCATTAGTCCATTAGCAGGAGACATGTGCAGGCTCCTCTTTATGTTAAGGACATATTCCCTGGATGCATTACAAAAGAGCTGTCGTTGGAAAGGTTTAAAAAAAATCCACTGAACAGTTAGAAGAATTGCCGTCTTTGTATAGATGGTTGAATACTTCTGTTTTTGATTATGTGCATAGGGATAATTACTTGATAGCAAATGACACATGAATTTTGTTAGCTTTTTAATTGTTTATGAGTGATATTTTTGGTGAATATAATAGACCATATGTAAAATTACTTCACAGTAGTCTCCTTTCCTTTGAAACCATTGTAATCAAACTTGACTGTCTGTAATCAGCGGCGGATTTAGGGGGCAGTCCCCCACCCCCTTATGGAGCTTCATATATGACTATAAATGTATAGACTTTTTACAAGTATCACTCAAAAATGTTTGCTTAACAGGGCCCCATCCTTTTTTTTTATATTTTTTTATATTCTGGATCCGCACGTGGTAATGATCCCTTAAGGAATTCCCTCATGCTGACATTTGCATTGGATGTTGGTCAGTTTATTCAATGTCCTTTAGATACTATTGGCATTATTCATCAACTCACTAAACACTTATATTTTTCAAGAAATTATGTTATTCATATAATTAAATAGATATTTAAAGCTAAAACCTATTTACTTATTGTATGTCTGTCTCAAAGATTGTTATCTATAGAAAAATACATTTGAAAATATATGACAGAAATCTATAATTCTTCAATATGTATATATATATATATATAATCCAAAAGTGAGTGCTATATGATAATTTATAGACTTTTGTTAAAAATTAAAATATTCAAAATGTGTATGCCTCATCTGTAAATTATACAAATATAGTGCAGTTCTTTAATGTGCAAAGAGTGTTGCACTCTTTCTAGATGATGCATCAGATTTAACATCTCCATTTTAATTGGATGTGGCTGCGTATTTATACATTCCAACAGTCAATCTGATACCTGTTCAGCATTGGATAGGAAAAACTAGTCCATGTGACCATAATGAACTGACTAAATGAACATAAGAGTCCACACACTGTATTTGGTTCTCTCTTTATTGGTGCTTTTGTATGCTTGATGTCACAATTGAATTTGCAATATCAGCAGAATCTCTTAAATGATAATAGTACCAGTTCTTGGAAAAAAATTCAGTCATGATTTGTTAAATTCTATGACTATCCTCCCGAATGCACAGGTGTTCCATAACTGGTTCAATTGGGATAATTAAGGTGTTATTTTGGATATATTATTTTTTTCAACCTTTTTAGATTTTGATTTCTAATACTAGTATTTGGTTTTGAGGACAAGTGATGCGAAACAAATGTTTGTAATGTGCATTTGGTGATTTTAATATTTGTATCTTATAATCACTCGGTCATAGTCATAGCTGGCTGAATTCAAGTGTGTGAAGATTTTATTGACCAGTGATTTCAAACTTGAATGATATTACATGTCATCGGTAATGATATTTAATTCACAGAATCAAAGGTTATACTTTTGATCCACAGAATTTGATTGTCTTTATTACTTTAAAACTTTACGAGCTATCCAATTGTGTATGAAGCAATATTCCAGTAGTGCTATATATGGAGTATATATCTCCTATTTTTTATACGATATTTTACAGCTTGTATTTCCTGTCATGATTCCAAGGCCTTGATAGAGGGTTGCTGCTTTCAAGGAAGCTATTAATCCAAGGGTTTCAAGTGGTTAAGTTGAAGTCATCTCTCTGAATATTTTACGGACGCCATCACGTGTTGATGGACAAACACACTTCACCAAATTAGATAAGTAACACGACGGGTGCCACATGCTTACCCTTTCGGAGCACCTGAGATCACTCGGGTTTTTTGGTTGGGTTCTTGTCGCTCAGTTTTTACTTTTTATACGACCGCAAAAAAATTTTACGGTCATATATTGGTATGACGTTGGCGTCGTCTTCGTCGTCGTCCGAAGACACATTGGTTTTCGCACTCTAACTTTAGTTTAAGTGAATGGATCTCTATGAAATTTTACCATAAGGTTCAATACCACAAAAGGAAGGTTGGGATTGATTTTGGGGGTTATGGTACCAACAGTTAAGGAATTGGGGGCCAAAAATAAGCATTTTTGTAACTTCCAGACATAACTTGTGTGTTAGTGTATGGATCTCTCTGACATTGTACCACAAGGTTCCATATCACAAAGGGAATGGTGGGATTGATTTTGGGGGTAATTGTCTCAAAATTTTAGGAATTAGGGGCCAAAAAAGGGGCAAAAAACAAGCATTTTTCCAGTTTCATGACAATAACTTGTGTGTAAGTGTATGGATCTTTCTGAAATTGTACTACAAGGTTCCATATCACAAAGGAAAAGCTTGAATTGAGTTTGGGGGTAATTGCCCAAAACGTTTAGGAATAAGGGGCCAAAAATAAGCATTTTTCTAGTTTCCAGACAATAACTTGTGTTCAAGTGTATGGATCTCTCTGAAATTGTACTGCAAGGTACCATACCATAAAAGGAAGGCTGGGATTGATTTTGGGGGTAATTGCCTCAAAATTTTAGGAATTAGGGGCCAAAAAGGGGCAAAAAACAAGCATTTTTCTAGTTTCAGGACAATAGGCCCAAAAACACAGTTATTTCGTAGTGCATTTCTTTTAGACAATAAATTCAAATTAAAAAAATCACACCGCCTCTATCTCAAAAAGATTTTTACAGTGAAGTGTACTACTATTGATACAAATAATATCAAAATTATAGAAACTTCTACCAGCTCTAACTCAAAATATTGACAATTCTGTCTTAAGGGGGCTAAAATTCAGTTTGACAGCTTCAGACATTCTAATTTTGGACCTTTTTTAACTGGACCAAATCACTACTTAACATAAAAATTTAGCATCCAAATTTTTTTCAACATGTAATTTCATCCCCTTACTTAATATTTCATGCATAAAATATCAAGAAATAAATTGGGAAAGTGTATCAAAAAAAATGCAAGTCATACACTGTTCACACTAGGGACTATATTCGTAGGCCATTTTAATATTGAAATTTGGATGTTTATTTTTGACGTTTAAATCAAATATTTTCAACTGTCAAGATTTTGGCCTAAAAAATTTAAATATTGCAAAAATTTGCTTTTTAAATACTCTTGAATATAATGTAATAAGTATTAAAAGCAACGGAACACTCATTTGATTTATCAGATCTATTACAGCTATTCAAATGTCAAATTTATATGAGCCTGTGCCTGAAAATAAAGATTTTGGAATTAAGGGAAGCCTTACATAAACATGCATTTTTTTCAACCAAGTTGAAGTTTTTGAAGTTTTTTAACCATACATTATTCTTCCATATATATTAAATGTACTTTAAATGTAAAGAAAAGTTACAAAAAGCATACCACATTAGTATAAAATGGTCTTAGGCCATGTAAGACTAAGAATTATTTAGAGTCGATTTAGGCCGTAGCCCATATTTACATATAAAAATGCACACAGAGGCTATAAGAAATGGAAATTTGTTACTTTTTGCTCATTTCTATGCTGGGATGCATGATACAAGAAGTCTAATTGCAAAAGGACTCTTGAATTCAACTTTTTTTTGCAGACATTATGGTCTGATGACCAGTTTTTCACTTTTCAATGGAAAATTTGCATGTAGTTTTAGTCTCAACTGGCATATATTTGAACCACTTACTATCCTAAAGAAGAAAATTATGGTAGCATATGAAATGAAGAGGGTGTACTGATCATTGTAAAGTGTTTTTTTTACAGATTTAGTGAAATATTTGTGATGGACTACAGATTTTATGTACAAAGCTCTTCACATTTCACATACATCAAACAGGCCGTTTAACCAGGGAAATAAATACAAATATTCTGCACATTTTTTCTGTGATAATCTACTTTTCTTTAGATTCAGAGTTCACAAATAGTTAATTAAATTTGATTTAAGCATAGAAACACAAATATCAGGAACATTAAAAGCTGTCAGATAGAAAGTCAGCATGGCTCTTAGGCATAAAATAGAAACTGCTTTCAAATGCTTATTGTAGCCGTATAATGGCAAAATGGGACATTTTAACAGAATTTCTGTCAAACAAAGATGTAAATCCTTTACTTTTATTGAGTTTGACAAATTGAAACCAGCAAACCATTCAGGAAAGTTGCCAAAGTACAGAATCTACATTTACGGAATTCATCTCTTAGGCCAGAGAACACAGTTATTTCGTAGTGCATTTCTTTTAGACAATAAATTCAAATTAAAAAAATCGCACCTGCTCTATCTCAAAAAGATTTTTACAGTGTAGTGTACTACTATTGATACAAATAATATCAAAGTTATAGAAATTTCTACCAGCTCTAACTCAAAATATTGACAATTCTGTGTAAAGAGGGCTAAAATTCAGTTTGAAAGCTTCAGACATTCTAATTTTTGACCTTTTTCAACTGGACCAAATCACTATTTAACATAAAAATTCAGCACCCAAATTTTTTTCAACATGTAATTTCATCCCCTTACTTAATATTACATGCATAAAATATCAAGAAATAAATTGGGAAAGTGTATTAAAAAAAATGCAAGTTATACACTGTTCACACTAGGGACTATATTCATAGACAACGAAAACCAAAGGACGATAACTGTGTCCTTGGACCTAATAGGATAGAAAGACTTGACCAATTTTAATAAAACTTTGCATGACCTAAGCTTAGGAAATTATAAGATAGTTGGCAAAGTTTCATGGCCATAGAATCTATATTATAGAAACTAGGGCCATTTTAATATTTAAATTTGGATGTTTATTTTTGACGTTTAAATCAAATACTTTCAACTGTCAAGATTTTGGCCTAAAAAATTTAAATATTGCAAAAATTTGCTTTTTAAATACTCTTGAATATAATGTAATAAGTATTAAAAGCAACGGAACACTCATTTGATTTATCAGATCTATTACAGCTATTCAAATGTCAAATTTATATGAGCCTGTGCCTGAAAATAGAGATTTTGGAATTAAGGGAAGCCTTACATAAACATGCATTTTTTTCAACCAAGTTGAAGTTTTTGAAGTTTTTTAACCAAACATTATTCTTCCATATATATTAAATGTACTTTAAATGTACAGAAAAGTTACAAAAAGCATACCACATTAGTATAAAATGGTCTTAGGCCATGTAAGACTGAGAATTATTTAGAGTCGATTTAGGCTGTAGCCCATATTTACATATAAAAATGCACACAGAGGCTATAAGAAATGGAAATTTGTTACTTTTTGCTCATTTCTATGCTGAGATGTCATGATACAAGAAGTCTAATTGCAAAAGGACTCTTGAATTCAACTTTTTTTTGCAGACAGAATGGTCTGATGACCAGTTTTTCACTTTTCAATGGAAAACTTGCCTGTAGTTTTAGTCGCAATTGGCATATATTTGAACCACTTACTATCCTAAAGAAAAAAATTATGGTAGCATATGAAATAAATAGGGTGTACTAATCATTGTAAAGTGGTTTTTTTTACAGATTTAGTGAAATATTTGTGATGGACTACAGATTTTATGTACAAAGCTCTTCACATTTCACATACATCAAACAGGCCATTTAACCAGGGAAATAAATACAAATATTCTGCACATTTTTTCTGTGATAATCTACTTTTTTTTAGATTCAGAGTTCACAAATGGTTAATTAAATTTGATTTAAGCATAGAAACACAAATATCAGGAACATAAAAAGCTGTCAGATACAAAGTCAGCATGGCTCTTAGGCATAAAATAGAAACTGCTTTAAAATGCTTATTGTAGCCGTATAATGGGAAAATGGGACATT